AGAGTTTTCCGGTGACTGAAAGATGTTTTTCGATCTCACACCTTAAAACCTAAACTCTCACCAATAATCAAGACCACAATTACAATTAGAAATTGAAAAGAACCCTAATCGTAACAAACTCTTGATCTTCTCCTTATCTTCAATCTGATCCTCTTTGTATATGAGACCATAAGCAGCTTATCAAAACGGTGACGTTTTCCTTCATTCAATAACCAGAGAACCAAAACCAAACCGGCTTCAGCTTCAATTGAATTAAACCGAGTCAAGAACTAAACCAAAAGTCAACAGGGTTTACCTTACCTTAAACACTTGAGTTCTAATTGAAGCTTTAAGGATCCGATCTTGCCAATTCGAAACTGGAGTACTTCTTCAAATAAGAGAAATTTAGAGCTCAATTTGAAGAACTTGGAAGAACTATGGTAAATATTGTGATTTGAATTCAAAAATTTGTTGTTTTATGTGAAAAGATTTTTGCTTTAAAACCTCTACTCCATGATGCTCTTCGCAAATCCAGGAGATTCGGAGCAAAATAGATTCAGGACCTGAGAAGTAGTAAAGAAGATATCAAAGTGCTTCTCCGCCCAAAGTTTTGCCATTCAATTTAGTCTCTGGTAAGTGTTATAGAGTGATAAAAATTTGAACTTTATGAATTATGGGGCCAGTAAAGTTAAGCTAGAGTTCATACGATTGTGTCTATCTGATTGTATTTACAGCGAGACAAAGTGAGGGTAGTATTTTAAACAAATTACAGTTAGAAGCACAGTAAACTTCTGCATTGTTAGGATTTATTTTTAACAATAGAGATCCATGCATTGTTAGGATTTATTTTTAACAATAGAGATCCATGCTTGTTTTGAGAATGATTAAACGTAGATGGGTCTTTAAGACAGTATCTTTGAAAGCTATAATAACAAAAAAAGCAGACCCAAAACAAAGCAGTTTACAAATCCTTAAAGCTTAACTTCATGAGAAAGACATGCACTTGATTGAATTCTACCTGATATTT